ATTTGCAAAACTTGAAAAGAGCATCTATAATTACTGTTGATAGAACTGTCTAACTAAGTGAGACAGGATTCTAACAAACATAAGTTCCCAAAACGATGAAACACACAAAGCCAACAGAGATAAATCATTTTACCCAGTGTGGGTAACAGTGAAACAGAGGTGAGGTACAAAACAGGACACACTGATGTGGTAGACACATTACCAAGCTCATTCTGTGGGATGGTGCCTTGTTAAATGCCAGGCTACGCCAAGACTCCTCACCATACCTCTACAACGTCAGCCGTAGCATCTCATTTTATTAAGAACAGATGACACAGGGGAATATTTGGCGTGAGTTTACCAAAGAGTGAGTGTCAGAGTCTTGGATCAGGCCCAGAAGTGTGCTCGTAACAACAAGCATTTCAAAAAAAAGTCTTGCTTTGCATCATTTGCCAGTTTCCATAGTGTGAATACTCTGACAATAACCAAATTCAAGATACGTGATGTGATGGAACACGGTTTGGGAAACGATGATAACAGTTAGCTCTCATGAGTTGGTACAAGTCAATTTCAGCACACCCTGAAAGGCCATTTCTAAGCCTTGAAGATTTTATATGATTAATGTGTGTGAAAAATTCTATAACCATTGGTCATTTTTACAATCCTGTGCTGACCAAGGCATAGAAATGGAACTGTGCAGATGATTTTGTTTTTACTGCTTATGAATATACTTTTATACATTGGAGAAAAAATTCTACAAAAAATGACTAGAATGGGCAACATGTCCTGTTGTAACTGATGGCTCTAAATTTATTCATTTAACCTACAGCTAACATACTCAATTGTGAAATACTGAAAGCTTTTTTCCCTAAGATCAGGAATTACACAGGGATGTCTGCTTCCATTCAACCTTGTACTGGAAGTTCTACCCAAAACAATTAGACAATAAAAAGGAATAAAATGATCTAAATTGGAAAGGAAAAAGCATGATTATCTTTATTTGCAGATGACATGATCTTATATATAGAAAATCCTACATAGCCCACAAAAATCCTATTAGAGCTCATAATTAAATTCAGGGAATTTGCAAGATACAAGATCAACACACAAATGTCAGTTTTATTTTTATACATTAGTAATAAACAATCTGAAAATAAAATTAAAAAGTAATAGCATCAAAAAGAATAAAATACTTAGGAATCAATTTAAGCAAGGAAACGCAAAACTTATACACAGAAAACTACAAAACATTGCTAAAAGAAATTAAGAAAAACCTAAGTAAATGAAAAGACATATTGTGTTCACACATTAGAAGACTCAACATTCTTAAGATTACAATATTATCTGAATTGATCTACAGATTCAATGCAATCCTTACAAAAAGTATAATGACCTTTTTCTCAGTAATGAGAAAGCTGATCCTATAATTCATATGGAATTGCAAGGGACCCTGAATAGCCAAAAAATATATACATGTAGAAAAATGAAAACAAAATGGAGGACTCAAAATTCTAGATTTCACAACTTACCACAAAGCTACAGTAAGTAAAACAACATCGTACCAGCCTAAAAATAGACATAGAAATCAACTGAATAGAATTAAATGAATTGGGAGTCCAGAAATGAACCCATACATCTATGGTAGATTCACTTTCAAGAAGAGCGCCAAGACCATTTAATAGGAAAAGGGGAATTTCCTCAACAAATTGTACTAGGACAACTGGATAGCCACATGCAAAACACTGAAGTTGGACTCTTTCCTCATACAATATGCAAAAATTAACTCAAAATGGATCAAAGACCTAAATGTAAGAGCTAAAACTATATAACTCATTAAGGAAAAGCTTCATGACTTTGGATTAGATGCTTA